CTATACAAAGCAACGTACAGCAGCTGCCACACACTCCACTCTATACAAAGCAACGTACAGCAGCTGCCACACACTCCACTCTATACAAAGCAACGTACAGCAGCTGCCACACACTCCACTCTATACAAAGCAACGTACAGCAGCTGCCACACACTCCACACTATACAAAGCAACGTACAGCAGCTGCCACACACTCCACACTATACAAAGCAACGTACAGCAGCTGCCACACACTCCACTCTATACAAAGCAACGTACAGCAGCTGCCACACACTCCACTCTATACAAAGCAACGTACAGCAGCTGCCACACACTCCACTCTATACAAAGCAACGTACAGCAGCTGCCACACACTCCACACTATACAAAGCAACGTACAGCAGCTGCCACACACTCCACACTATACAAAGCAACGTACAGCAGCTGCCACACACTCCACTCTATACAAAGCAACGTACAGCAGCTGCCACACACTCCACTCTATACAAAGCAACGTACAGCAGCTGCCACACACTCCACACTATACAAGGCAACGTACAGCAGCTGTGCCTGGAGTTTGTCAAGCTGTGCCTGCTTCTCAAGACTGGCAGAGCTGGTGACGGTGAGGTGGGAGTTGAGGCTCTGTTTCTCGTGGTGCAGTTCGCTGAGCTTTGACTCAAACTTGGCGAGCTTGTCTTGGTTGTCTTGACGCTCGGCCGTCAGAAGGCGCACCGTCTCTTCCATGTCCTGCAGCCTTCCTTTCGTGTCCCACGCCGGCCGTTTGCTGCGGCCTGCTGTAACAACTTCAATACAATATAGTAGCTCAAGGTAGCCCTAATTTATTATAATATTCAAATGTACTGAAAAAATATCCAGCACTGAAGTCTTTCGAAGATTCCAAAAACACCTGAAAAAGACAATTAATAGCCTTCCCTTGAAAGAATGAGTTCTATCTTCAACTTTAGTGTGGACGTTTCGAGCAAACTTAAACTGAAACCAGTCATCTTCCTATGGAACAATTTTATTTATGACTATAATCTAATAAAGGACTGGTTTATACCTAATACTTACGTTAACAACTAATATCAAATAAAATGGTTTCCAAAATCAATACACTATTGCTGGCCAGCCAGTTAATTTCATTATTTATTAATGAAAATAACAAGACCGTATCTAGAATAGTAAAAATATACAATCCTTGAAACATAATCGCCCATTGACACAGAATTCTCTCTCTGTGCTGTATTAAACACTATGTTTGGCCTTTTTCAGGAACCAAAGCTAATTATAGTTCTAACAGCCCCAAAACATTTAAAGGTATCAAAGGTAAGTATAGGTTACATGGTTATTATTTTCGGTAAGTATAAGTAACATAGGTACGTAGGTATAGGCGATATAAGTAAGTATAGGTAATATAGGTAAGAATAGGTAACATAGGTACGGTAAGTATAGGTAACATAGGTAAGTATTGGTAACATAGGTCAGTATAGGTAACATAGGTCAGTATAGGTAACATAGGTCAGTATAGGAGGTAACATAGGTCAGTATAGGTAACATAGGTCAGTATAGGTAACATAGGTCAGTATAGGAGGTAACATAGGTAAGTATTGGTAACATAGGTCAGTATAGGTAACATAGGTGAGTATAGGTAACATAGGTGAGTATAGGTAACATAGGTGAGTATAGGTTACATAGGTAAGTATAGGTTATGCAGATAGGCATAGGCAAGCCTAGATTCAAGTACAGACAACAGCTCTGCCATTAGTATAGTATTTAATCCAGTAATTTAACCAAAGCATGAGTGAGTAACTGCCAAGGTATTGCACCTGGTAGTTGTGCTGTCTCAGTAGCAGGAGCCTTGCTGGCAGCTGGGGGGCGCGCTGCATTGTTGACTCTGCTGGTGATGTTGGTGCCAGGGCGCCGAGTTGAGGCTGCAAATATAAAACATATCTTATCTATTTATTATATAAAGGCATATATATCCTAACAAATGTAAGGTTTGTGGCTTGTGAAATACTTTATTGGTGCTCACCATCGGAAATGAAACAGTAGAGTTGAAGATTCAAGCAAGTAGAAAAAAGTACTAGATACAAGTAGAAAATACATGTCAGTTGACGATACAAGCATCAATTCTATTGACTGCATCCTGTCAATATCTAACTCTTGTCACTTCCATGAAGATATTTTCTTACTTTTTGAAAGATCATACTTACCTAAGTGATTAACCAACCGTGGTTGCTTTGATGATTCCAGCAATCTTAATAATATCAATCCTCTTAAGGTTTGGATTTACTAACTCATATTTAGTTGAAGCAAACATTAAGGCTGTAGTCATCAGCCTTAATAAGCCTTGCAAAACTCTTGCATTAATGAATTGAATTAAAACCCTAAATAATGCCAACAGTGTCAAGAATTTCTTCTGATTTTCATGAATGTATTCAGACCCACACAAAAATTGCACAAATATTTACACGTGTCATTTGTGTCAAGGTGAATTACTCGCTTTCTTGATGACCAAGCACATGAAATGAATGGCTTCATTGAGGGCAAGTATAACAGTAACACGGACTTAATTGCTTGCTTCACAGAAGTCAATTACATTCAACTGTATTGCTATGAGATCACAGAGACTGATAAGAGACATACCAGCAACAGGGGCTCGGGTGGTAGTGCTGGAAGGGCGGCCAGTTAAGCTGATGTTGGAGCCGGAGAGTTTACTGTTGGAGCGAGACAAAGTGGAGCCAAAACCTGCACCTGGTGGATTTCTTGTGTTGCTGCCCACAGCCAAGCTTGCCATAGACACTGACCTGCAGCATCAACAATGTGAAAGTTCAAAACTGAAGCTTAATTAGCATAATCCTGTTTGGCATTACTTTTAAAATAACAAAAAAGAAACAATTGAACACCGCTTTTAGCATACAAAATGGTCTAATAACCATGAATTTATAGGCCTTTGTAAGCTTCTGAAGCTCACATCCAATAGCATGACCACAAATAAAATCTGTAAAGAAAAAAACTCATTCAGCATTAGCACTCAACTTTAACAGACTTCATTTTTAAGACACTTGCCATTGGTTTCTCTTAGGTTCCTGATATTCCTGTATCACTGGGGAGCAGAGTGAGCCAGAAGAGGAATGAAAAATTCTTACAATCAAACATACTATATACCTGCGCATCTTATTGCGTGCAGCTGGCACAGCAGGACGTCTCAGAACCGTTGTAGGAGGACCCATGATGGAGACTTTTGAATTCTCTGCACAAAAAGCATAGATTCAAGTTCCTGCCCAACAATATTCTGAAGAAAGATATACCAAACTCCAAACATTCTGAAGAAAGATATACCACACTCCACACATTCTGAAAAAAAGAATACCAAACTCCAATGTTTGCAATTAAATTTACTAACTTGGACACTTTTTTCATCACTTCATTGACATGGAATATAAAACATTACCTGAAATAAAATAAATTTTAGTCATTTCAAGCCACTCCAATGTGTAGTTTTAAGAACAAATCTATATAAACATTTCCTGGGTCTCATTAAAATCCTATGACAGCCTTAACCATCAATAAGTGCTGGGTTTATATAGAACATATTATATTGTTTTTAGGCCCATGAAGTCAAGAGCCAGAGATTCAAAACAATTTGGAAATAAGTGTAATGCATTACATGCTGATCAAGAGTGAATTTTTCCTACAGGGTGCCTTTATATTCTTTGATATGTACTCAAATGTCTTGTGCTAAACTCCAGGAAGATCTTTCTTTGGGCAGATTTAGTTCCAATACCAAACAGATCAATAAACTATACTTGCAATTAGTATGTATTTACAACTCTAAATCCTGGACATAATTACCAATTAACATAATTGAACAGTGCTGATTTGAATTAATATTACAATATGCCTATAATATACAATACATGCCTGCACAATGTATATGCCTATAATATACAATAAAAAAGAAATAAAGACAAATCGATTTGGATTAATATTTGAAAAAGATGCCAACTAAGATGGGTTTCTCAAAAAACAGAAACAATATACATAAAATATTATTCATAGCAGTAAAAACTATATCAATAGGTACAGTAGTGCATACAAAAAGTCTATAGTATAAACACCTGAACCTTGACTGAGACTGCTGCCCAGGTCCTTCAAGCTGCTGCGAGTGCGCTTGGAGGGAGACGGGTTGCTGTCGCCTTCATCACTAGCCCTCCTCTTGGGCCCAGACACCCCTACTGCTGGTAGCTGCAGGCGAGTAGGAGGCCTTAGCCTGCTACTTGGGGTAGGCAGCTTGCTGGCCATTGTTCTTAAGTCTTTATGACTGATCAATGAAAATCAAAGTTTGGATAGAATAAGTTATTGATATATATCACAATCTGAAACAAGGAATGGAAAACAATAGGTCAATCATTCACACATAAAAAATTAATTTACTTAAAGATCCTGAATAACAAAAAAGCAAACATCAATCAATGTTTATAATTTCTAATTTACAGGCCAGAACTTGAACTTTTCTCTAATTTATAGAGCTGGAAGATTTATGCTAGATGAATCCTTTCATATGTAAGTGCTAGTAGCAGCCAGCAAACAACTTCTGAGTTGCCCTTCTTTCAGAGTTCTAACTTCCAAGTGTAAGTTTACTATGTGTGGTTATAAAAATATTTTGGTAATTAGAGTTCATAGCTAGATGGTTCAATATTTTATACACCATGCATATAAACATCTAGATTTGAGTTATAATTCATCAAGCCATCATGACAATTAATTGGCATCACATTTACTAACAGGTTTTATCACAAACAAGTGATTGATCAACTATGCATGGCTTGGTCATATCAATCTTGACTCTTGGATCCCTATCTATGAACAGGGTGCGTACCGATATTGAGAAAAAAAATTCCAGGAATTTTCCAGGACACTCCATGATCATCAGTATAATTTTCCAGGACTCTTATATACGACAGGTTTAGCATGACTGAAAGAGTAACTGTGCATATTCTATCATCTAAAGTTGATAACTAGGAAACGAAATGCATAACACAAACACTGATGCGTGCTGACTTTTGCGACGGACTATTCCCTGATACACTTTTGGAGCAAGAAACTGCAGTTGCATTGCTGTCAGCGGACCACAAATCGAAATGCGTAACTGCACTTTGCTTTTCACTTCACTATGTTGCTTAGCTAACTTGGTGTGTTTGCTGCCTTTGGCATGGCTTTTCAACGCTGCTTCCCCCATATTTGACACATCGAAATCTTTCGAACACAATGTACATATCGCCATACCTTCATGCTTGGGATGGCGAGCAAGCCAGTCACGATAAGCTTCTATTTTTGACCACAGGTCATGAAATTTACACTTTCCACGCATGGCAATGTAGAAATTGCACGCTTAAGATGGAAGGCTGCCACTGCACATCAAATAGTTTTGAATGCAACTTAGCTCGGTGACCAAGCTCACTTGATTGCTTCTCCAATCGCATGACCGACGGTCACGTGATTGGAGAACCAATCAGAACGCAGGAAACAAGAGACTGCAGAAACAGTTTAACGCTAATCGCATAGAGTTAGCGGGGAAAAGCCCTTAGTTTCTAAAAACCACCGTACAAAATAACCACGAATCTCACAGCCTTGTCTGTCGAGATACTCTTCAACTGATATCTATTCTTATCTATTCTTGGTGTTGGATCAATAATATTTTAGCTGGAATTTCAGGGAGGTACTTGAGCTTCCCGCTCCGCTAATGAGTTTCATTTCATGCAGTTCTTTCAATGGCGGGCAACGAAGTCACAGACAATGAGATAAAAAAACTATAGGAACAAAGAAACTTTTATAGTGACTAGCGATGTGGATGCAGGTGCACCAGTGCTGATGTTGCACATGCACCAGCAATATCTCAGGCACACGCACATGTGAATGACTTAAAGTCTTCTCCCCATGGGTAACAGACACGAGTTCAAGCGGTCAGAGTTGTTGTACACAAAGATGGCTCTGCTTGAGGCCAGAAATTCAGTCCTTCCATTCTCATAATTTTCAAAAATGGATTCAAATTAACAATTGTGCGTTTGAAGACTGCATTTGATAGGAAACAATCTACATAAATGCCTGGTAAAATAATCGCAGCGCATGTATAATAGAAGACACCTAAATTTATAATACTTAACAAAATTAAGGGCAGATATTATTTGCACCCGAGGTTGTAGCGCGACACAACAACCTGTGGCTATTAGGGTCAACACACGCAGCACAGAAAAATACTTCATTTTTTATTCATTTGCAAATTCCAGTATTTTCCATAGTCTGTAATGAAATTCCAGTACTTTCCAGGCCTGGAAAATGAAAAATCAAATTTCAGGACTTTCCAGATTTTCCAGGATTGGTACGCACCCTGTATGAAGAAGCAAAATTGCGACTGACGAAGCCATTTACCACAATCCTGCTTCAAGGTCTTATGTGCAATGAATTTGGCATCCTAAACATTTGTTGTCTTGCTTCACAGTCTGGACCAGACATGTCTTTATCTACCATCTGATCAATTTGGAATATCAGGCAGAATTTTCCTAAAATCAAATAGAAAAATGAGGGTTTTGCAGGTCTCTTCTAAAAATTTCAAGTAAAATAGGCCATTCTTTGTATTTTACACTCAAGGAATTATAAAAAGACTGTAAGAACATAGTAAAATTGGCAAGATTTGCAGGCATTTATATATGATTCACAGGTGGCTTCTGCCCAGTTTTCTACTTAGGCCATTTGAGCGGCAACTACAGATCCCTGCCATGAGATTTCTTCGAGAAAAATTCCCTGCAATTTAGTTGATTGACTAAAGTGCATGAATGGCCCCAAAACCAATATGAAATTTTCCTATTATCACTGAAATATAGCAGCTATAATTGTTACCTATTTATCCTATTTTTATAATCTCACAGCCTGAACATGGACTATTGTTAATGCTGTTAATGCGGTGGTGTGGAATGGCTTGGATTAGAGATACCATAGTTGATCTAGCAGGAATCTCAAGAGTCAAGGCTCAAAAAATGGTGGGAAAGATCTAGTCGCAGCTTGGAAAGTAGATATATTCCAAGACAGCCCAGGATGGAGGTACAAAAAACAAATTTGTTGATAAGATCATTACATGTTACTTTGAAACAATGAATTTTAAACAAGTGAAAAAATTACAAAACAGTTCTGGATGACTAGATCTAGCAGAAATCTCAGTGCTCCAAATCCAAAAAAGCAGAGAAGCTCTAGTTGTAGGCTGGTATGGAATATATATACCTTTTGAGCTGCAACTAGAGCTTTAGTGCCAACTTTGGAGCTGCAAGATTCCTGCCAAAATAATAAGGCTAAATGAATTACCTCCTATTTAACAGTTAATGAAAGTGCACAATCAGGCTGCAAGATAAATGTAGTGAAACTTGGCTACTTTGGAGCATAAAGATTTTAGTAATAATTAGAATAATATCAGTCCTGGTGGTGTGGAATGGCTTGGAATATATGGATATATACATCTACCTTTCAAGCCATGACTAGAAGCTAGAGCTTCATGCCATTTCAGATTCAGAACTGTGAAATTCATGCTATATGGACTAACTCCTATCTAATTGTCAATAAAATAGCACAATTAGGTCACAAAATTGTATACCGTCAACCAGGGCTACTTGGGATGGTTTTGAGCGTTTTTTGTTAATAACTTTTTACCATGAAACATTTCATAAACAAGTTAAGGCTCATTTTATAGCTCTTTGCAAGGGCTATCTAATGGCATCTAAAAAAATCCCATATGCTATTTGTAAGGTGCCAGAAGCAAAAAAAGTGTCCCGAGTAGCCCCTGTCGAACGGGGCTACTCGGGACACTTGGAATAAAACTTCATTTTAAAATATTTGAAGCATGCAGAGTATACTCATCCATTACTAACAGTATTCTGAAGTCCTCCTCTTTCATTGTAGATGATGTAGAGGTAGAATAAATGACATTTTCTGTGATTTTTACTCCTTTTTCCTTTATTGATATATTACCATATGCATTGATTACCGTATTATTGATGCGATATTACCGTATCCATGAACATGCCATTGAGCATTTACCACAACCTTTTCCACTGCAAGCTTCATATCAGCAGCCTTTAGCATTTTTTCTGCATCTGTAAGCTTACAGGACGGCTTGTAATTTCACACCATTTTAATTGGGTTAAGTGAATTTACTATAAAAAAAATATTGTGAAAAACATACCTGAAACAGAAAGGAATGTTTTAGTGACAACCATCATGTTTTGCAGAAATAAATCATAGTTTAGGTCAATTACTTTTCATTTTATGATGCCTGGTGCACAATTCTATATATGACATTCCATGCACAATTTTGTGATGACCGATGATGCACTAATTTTTCGATAAGTGAAATTTTTTTGCCAAGCAAGGTAAATGTAATCAATATTCTTTGTTTTTAATCAATTTTTTTCTTAACTGGAGCCTTTGCTTACTGAGGTTCCGTAAAATGGGGTAACTTAGACCGGCGGGGTAACTTAGACCACTTTTCATTTTTTTAACAAAAACCCCCACAACTCAAAAACTTTTTGACATAGAAAAATTTTGTCAATGGGCATTAAAGGCCTAATACTGAGGCTAAATAACACAATAGAAAGATTTAAAAAGTTTGCATATCTAATAGGTTAAAAAATTAAAAATGTGACCCACGAGAAAAAGCTGTCCAAAAAAAATGTCCACAGAAAATTTTTATTGCCAATGAAAAAGTTATCATACCAAATATACATATAACTGGTAATAGATGAAGTACCCCCTCCAATTTTTTTATTTTTTTGTTAAATAACTCCAAGTTTTGATGCATTGTAGACTTTTGTAGTAGAACCGTAAAATGGGGTAACTTTGACCACTTTTTTTTTTAGCCTATGTATTTTATGCCTTTAAGAATAAGAAGTTCATTTTTTGCCTCAAATAACAATGTTGGATAGAAAAAGTGGTCTTGGTGGATCGAAATAATATATGAACCTTCAAAATTAGAATTCCATCCTGTAGGCACCATGTCCATTATCCATATGGCTCATGTCTGATCAATAGCCCTACTGATGCCGTGATGTGTATGCTTGATTTGGCCCATGGACCATGGACATGGTCCATAGTCCATACCCACTGTGCGATAGTGGCACTGGCAAAGCAGAGTTTTCTTAGACTCTCCCTCATGTTCAATTTGAGTACTAGCCTATAAGTAGACCAGTAAACGTAAAGTATCATGGATACCACACTCACTCATACCAGCATCATCATACCTACATAAAAAATTGGTTTAAATTTGGAGTAGGTGAGGAAATTAAAAATGAACTGATTCTAAAATATCTCTGGTTTGCCATTTATTGCCACT